ATGCTTAAACCAAGATAATTTTATATTTCTTATCTAGTTTACCAAAGTAAGCTTTCATTTGTTATATAGAGAGAAGAAAGTAAATTTGTAAAGAATTAGTACTGATTCATAAAAGTTATCTGGCATGCAACTTGTACTGCATTACTACAACAGAAACATTAATCTTATCATTTACATACTACACGAATTCCTTTTGATATTTTATACAAACAGACCAAAGTAGATAAGAATATGTTTTAGAGACACTTCTTGTTAATAAATGATTTTTTTACTGATTCCGTGATAATCACGAAAATTGGGAAATCTCTTCGTATACCTAACTACCGATCGTTATAAATTTACACTCAAATTCATTTGCTATTTTAACTTTCTAATAAAAAAATAAAATAAAAGGATTATACCATATTTTGGGGTAACACAAAATATTTTCAAAATGTTGCAACGCCCAGTCATACTCTATCTGACGACCGTGTATCTTAACAGTAACCCTGCAGCATAGTTTCCATTGCAAAAGACCCTGTTCTGAGTCTGTCATGTCCAAAGCACATCACTCCATAATCCATTTATTGTATTAGAACGATGGTTTCCAAGTGATCATTTCAACAATACAATCACATATAAATCCAAGGGTGACTTAACTGGTATGTCTTTATATAAAATAGTTTGAATACCCCTTTAATTCTCGAACTGATTCAGGTATGCAATGGTTGAACAGGACGTACGACTGAAAGCTTTAATTTGTAAAGTATACGCTATTGATCTCATTTCCATACGGATATCCTTCTTCGTCATGTTGTATACTATTGCTTGGAACACGTGGACGGCTTTTGCCAATCTTTGTGGATTCTCACCTACTGAAACTAGGAAATAAATTCTACCAGAAAAATAGCAAAACATCTTTAATAAAGATTATAATTTATAATGATTAGTCTTAATTATGGGTGACAGACAAACCACAAAAAGCGTCTATGACTACTTCGCTTTAGGTAATTAGTTGGGTATCGTCGTTGATATTAATGTTTTTCAGCCCATATCCCCAGAACACCCGTCGAGGCTAGATTTGCATAGTAAATTACCAAGCAAAAAAGCAAAATTATCAAATGTAAAGCTTCATTTGCCATGCTTATAAAATTTGCCTAAGGAATTTAATGTTATGAGTACTATAAATAACTAAAATACACACTGAATCAATTAAACTTCACACTGGAAATTATATTAACAACTAAAAACGTATGTCTTATTTAGTATATGGTAAGTTCTGGCTAGATGTCCACAGAACAACAGCACAGTCTGTGTGTATAAATGCTACTGAACCAGATCTATTTGTTTTAATTCATTAGCTCGTGTAAGGTGACCTTGCTAAAGTGAGTTTGCCCAACGGCCAAACTTGAAAAGGGATTGGTGAAGGAACCGTTTCAGGCCTCTTTTACGAATGGTCTTGGTGTCCCAACTTCATCCATATCCTTTGTATTTCAGTGTCATTAAATACAACATATATTCCTGTCTTTGAAATCCTAAATTCCCGATCATAACATATTTTTATAATCTAGGTGCATAAATATTTTGCGCTGGAAAGTGCTGCTACATGACATTTCCAAAAACACTGAATTTTCGATGGTATCTCACTAACTACAAAACGTCAAACAATGGTTAAAATATAGTTGTGACAGCTGTGCATTTCTAACATATTTTGATCTGTGGCTAGACTATCTTTTTAACACGTTGCGATCTGTGGCTAGACTCTACACAGGACCAAAACTAACGTGTTTTTTAAAAGTATAGCGATCACTAACTTACATACGGCAACACTATTTCCACTGTTTTCTTATACGTAAAAGCAACTTTGACAGAGATTTTCGATCTGCTGTAGGAGGGGATAGTCTAACAGGCTATGCCACAAGTTGGCTGACAAAGGGTATAAGTGATAAAATTAAAGAAAAGCATCACAAATTTAAGAAGTTAAAATTGATTGCTATGACGGGATACTTATCGGATTATAAAAGATCAATAGAGTTGTTAAAACAGGAAGTTAGGAGGAGGGCTACTAGGATAATACTTGGGATGGAAAGGTTTCTATACGAGGATAAGTTAAGATCTGAAAAAAGAGGAGTTAAAAGAGATCTGATTAGGGTGTTTAAAATTGTTAAGGAAATTGATTGTGTCGATGCATAATTTTTTTTTTCGTTTTTGTTTGTTTGGAATTAAGCACAAAGCTACACAATGGGCTATCTGTGCTCTGCACACCACGGGTATCGAAAACCGGTTTCTAGCGTTATAAGTCCGCAGACATACCACTGTGCCACTGGAGGCTTTTTTTTCGTATTCCTGATAAGAATGGTAAGACTAGGGGACACAAATTTTCATTTTTACCGGGTAAGAGTCATTTTCAGCTCAGGCTGATTAGTTTTTTTAATATGATAGTTGACCTTTGGAATGGGTTGCTCTCAGATTTTGTGGATGCAGTAAATTTGAAGGAGTTTAAAGAAAGGTTTGATAAATATTTGAATTATATATATATATATATATTGGTTCCTTGTTGTCTTTAAATGTTATGTTGAGCACAAACTTGAAGATACGGTAGCACCAATAAAAATGTTTTCTTAAACAAAAACTTTAAGATTTTAAAGGTGAAAGTTTATTAACATTTCATTGGTATTACTATCAATGAAGCTTTTATTATTCATTACGTTTAAAAAACATTTTAACACTTTAAATAATTATATTAGTAAGGTCAATTATGCATTAGAAAATAGCAGAAAATATGTGAAGCTAAACATAAATCCAATACTTACAAGGATTATCAGTCTCCAGAATAGGACTAGTTATGTTCAGGACTATTATCTGCTATAGAAAGCCATCTATATTCTACCTCAGTTTTCCTGACACGACTGGCTTTGCATCTGTGCAGCGTACATACAGCAGAGTGTTTATAACAAACACTTCTATTTTATCGAACAGTATTTTTATGCGTGAAATAATTTAGATGAAACCTAAAATGGACAAAATAGATATGATCTAATGAAAGTTGGGGATCAAAAACACGAGAAAATTATCAAAATTGCTTTGAGTAACTAAGGTTTTTTTTTATTACAAATTAAAAAATAATTCAAAATATTTTCAGTTTTATAAGTTATATCATACACACAAAACACCAGTATCTTATTGAAGTAATGCCATTACTTTATATTGGTCTTTTATCAACCAAATGTAATTGAAAATGGTAATCACAATTCCTACAAATTCCAACATATACCAGTTTGCTTTAGAGCTGAGGAACAAAGTCTAGTAGGATAGGCTCATGCATGAACGCTATAATATATCATACTTGTCTTTAAAAGTATTCAAGTTGTAAACGATTAGCTAGTAATTTCTACTGCAGTCTTATTTGTATTGCCTAAGTATTTCATCAAATGACCAGTTTGACTTAACTGGTCTATTTATTGAACTGGTGTATTTAAGTGTTTTACACTCATAAAAAGAACCCTATCATTCTATAGGTATTTGAAGAACTTGTAC